GCATTTAGGACCTTGTCGTAGTGATCCAATAGTTGAGACAGACAGGAGCGACCTGTTCTAAACCCATGTTGCCCTGGGTTGTGTAACTGATGGGTTTCTAGATGGGTGGTGATCTTGCTTCTTAGGACCCTTTCAAAGATTTTTATGATATGGGATGTTAGTGCTATCGGTCTGTAGTTCTTTGCTGTTGCTTTACTGCCCCCTTTGTGGAGTGGGGCTATGTCTGTTGTTTTTAGTAACTGTGGGACGGCCCCCGTGTCCATGCTCCCTCTCCATAGGATGGAAAAGGCTCGTGATAGGGGCTTCTTGCAGTTCTTGATGAACACTGAGTTCCATGAGTCTGGCCCTGGGGCAGAGTGCATGGGCATGTCATTTATCGCCTGTTCGAAGTCATTTGGCATCAGGATAACGTCGGATAGGCTTGTGTTAACCAAATTTTGTGGCTCTCTCATAAAAAATTCATTTTGATCTTCGACTCTCAGTCTGGTTAGCGGCTTGCTAAAAACTGAGTCATATTGGGACTTGAGTAGCTCACTCATTTCCTTGCTGTCATCTGTGTAGGACCCATCTTGTTTAAGTAGGGGCCCAATACTGGACGTTGTTCTCAACTTTGATTTGGCATAGGAGAAGAAATACTTTGGTTTCTTTCGATTTCATTATATGGCTTTTAGTTCTTCCCGCGATTCCTGACTCCTATAAGATTCCTTTAGCTTAAGTTCGATGCTTGCTATTTCTCTGACCAGTGTCTCCCTACGCATTTCAGATATATTGACCTCTTTTAGCCGCTCTGTTATTCTTTTCCGTCGCCTGTAAAGGGAGCGCCTGTCTCTTTCTATTTTACATCTACTCCTCCTTTTTCTTAGAGGAATAAGCCTTGTGCATACCTCGAGTGCCACCAAGTTAATCTGTTCTAGGGATAAGTTGGGGGTCTGTGTTGCTTAGTATATCTTCCCAGCTTATATCGGTTAGGACTTGGTTTACTTGGTCCCACTTTATGTTTTTGTTATTGAAGTTGAATTTGGTGAATGCTCCCTCGTGACTAGTCTCATTACGTCGGTCTGGGGCTCCACGCATACATGTCTGAACCTCAATTATGTTGTGATCTGAGTATATTGTTTTTGATATGGTGACATTTCTTATCAAGTTAGTTAAGTTTAATATGTTTATTATGCACCCCATACCCATCCTGTGGGCGGTAGTCAAAAGATTACAGAGGTACATAATTGGTCCAGGGACTGGACTCCAAAGTTTTGATAGCTGAGCAAGTTACAAAGGTAATGAACTAGATCTGGTCATAATCATGACCAAGTTACAAAGGTAATGAGCTCCAGGTAGAGCTGGTCACACTCATGAATAATTGCAAAGGTAATGAATCATAAACACATTAATCATGAGAATTTACAAAGGTAATGAGCTCCAGGTAGAGCTGGTCAAAATCATGACAAGTTTCAAAGGTAATGAATGATAAACACGTTATCACATGATTACAATCATAGACAAATTACAGAGTAATGAGCAGTTAACAAACATAGCAGGGAATTCATCCATTGCCCCAACAACAGATGTTGCTAGGTGCCTGTCTCTCCTCGGCAGACAGCCATTGCAAACAGCAGCAAGTTGCCCCGGGATCTGCTGCTTGCACGAGCACCATCGACCCTCCCCAAGAGGTCCAAGAAGCCAGTGGCTCCGTTAGCAGCCAGATGGAGAGCTGTCCTAGGGACATGGCAACGTCCTGGTGGATGCCAAGTTGACTGAAGATCCCAGGCCCTCGTGTGCACGGATGTTGAAGCTTGAGGAACTGAGTACACACAGCCTGAGGCACACCTGACAGCTGCCTCGCGGTCGAACTCCACGATGCTGTCCCTGTAGTGGAAGTTCCTGTGAGCCCGGCACCCCCTGCAGTGCCATCGCTGACATCGTGGGTTAGGGGAGAAGTACCCTCTATAGATGGGGTGGCGCTGGGAGTTGGGTGGGTGAGGCGGGGGAGACGGGCAGGGGCGAGGCGTTATGAGAGGGTCACTGTTTACTACACACGCCCTCCCCCTCCCCCCCCAGCGGAGAGGGGGGGAGGCACTGACTGGTCCTGACTCAACAACACCAAACCTTCTGCACAACACTTCAACTATTTACGCTGAAACGATGCACTGGGAAGTCCATTCGCTGCTCTGGTATCTTCTCAAAGCATTCACACTGAGTTCTGTTAAGTAGGGACCTGGTCAGCCTCTTTGACCAGGAGCTATCCTTGAAAATCCCGCAGCTAGCCCACTACACAACCTGCCGCGTCGGCCATGTTGGCTGTGTCTGTTATCAGATCATCATTGTTAGTGAAGATGAGGTCTAGTGTATTCTCCAGTCTAGTAGGCTCTATTATTTGCTGGTTTAAATTGAATTTTGTGCAGAGATTTAAAAGCTCGTGTGAGTGTGAGTTTTCATCAGAGCTGCCTCCTGGTGTTATTACTGCAACAATATTATTTGCTATATTCCTCCATTTTAGGTGCCTTAAGTTGAAATCCCCCAGGAGCAAGATGTTGGGTGCAGGAGCTGGAAGATTTTCCAGACAGTGGTCAATTTTTAACAGCTGTTCCTGGAATTGCTGGGATGTTGCATCCGGAGGCTTGTAGACTACCACAATGACTAGGTTTTGGTTCTCGACCTTTACTGCTAAAACTTCCACTACATCATTTGAGGCATTTAGCAGTTCTGTGCAAACAAGTGACTCTGCAATGTACAGGCCAACCCCCCCCCCCCCCCCTTTTGCCTGTTCACTCTGTCACATCTGTATAGGTTGTAACCTGGGATCCATATTTTGTTGTCCAAGTGATCCTTTATGTGGGTCTCACTGAAAGCCGCAAACATTGCCTTTGCCTCTGCAAGCAGTCCATGGATGAAAGGTATTTTGTTGTTTGTTGCTGGCTTTAGACCCTGTATATTTGCAAAGAAGAATGTCATCGGACTGGTGGTATTGTTGGTACTGGGGGGGGGATTTTTTTTTTCGGCATTAGTATCTGTATCTGTTGGTTTGGAGTGGAGGCCATCGACTGTGGTTCCACTCCAGGAATGACTGGATTTGGTGTAAGATTTCTGCCATTTCCTGCCAGTTTTTTTTCCTTCCTGGCACTAAAAAACCTCTCCCTCTTGAGTGGCTGTGGCTACCCAGGTTTTCCCATGGCCTGGATGTTTTGTATCTTTTTGTACCCTTTAGATGGTGTGCCTGGCAATTTAAGTTATAGCACAGTCTTTCCTGTACTGAAGAGGTACATATTTCAGGGTGAAAAAGCTTACAGGAAGGAGTTTGCATTTTCCTGTTATCATATGGGCATGGTATTTTCTAGGGTGGTCATAGTTGCACGTCCCGTCTGTTTTTCCAGATTTCCCATGTCTGCAGATACCAAGTGCATAGTATGTGCACAGGCTTGGTTTCCGTTTGCCTTGGGTTTCTGTGACTGTATTCCCTGTTGGTGCATTTTTCCCTGTCTTATTCCTATCCTCCCTAGCACCAACAATGGAGCTCCCACCAGTTGTTTTTGGTAATATATCCTCACTATTGCTAGTGGAGTCTTCTTGTTTGCTATTTCCTGTGGTATTACTAGTTTGCAATATTGGTTTTATCTTATCTTTGACTACACTTGTTTCCCCACTACGGCTCCTGTCCCCTATGAGGTCATTTATATGTATTCCTTCCTGCGTATAATTCCCGACTACCTGGACAAAATCTCCAGCTTCACCATTACTGTCTCCCAGGACAGCACCTCCAGCTTCACCATTACTGTCTCCCAGGACAGCACCTCCAGCTTCACCATTACTGTCTCCCAGGACAGCACCTCCAGCTTCACCATTACTGTCTCCCAGGACAGCACCTCCAGCTTCACCATTACTGTCTCCCAGGACAGCACCTCCAGCTTCACCATTACTATCTCCCAGGACAGCACTATCAGCCCCACATTTACTGACTACCAGGACATCACCTCCAGCCTTACAGTTTCTGACTACATGGCCAGTATCAAGGGCAGTACCATTCAGCCCAGACTTTTTATGTTCCCATCTGTTGTAGAAAGCTTCCAGGTTGTCTATGAAAGCAGCTTTGATGTTATCCTCTTTTAATACCCTTGTGATTTTAGTCCACAGATTTTCCTCATTTGGGCATACCCAAAAACACTTCCCTGTTTTAATACTGCTTGTAGCTAGTTCTTGGATATCTGCACAAGGGGTGTGACACCAATTTCCACAAAAATGACAATTTATCCATGTGGAAGCCCGTTTGTATGATTGACTGCAGACTATACAGAGCTTCATAATGATTTGAATGGTTGATTTACTGTAATTCTACTAGCAACCTCTTGAATACTCTATTAATAACCTCCTTAAATGAAGCTCTAGCTATTTGTATTTCTATTTCTAACTGTACTTGTATATTGGACAGCTTACCGTGTACGTTCCTGATTTATATTTATTGTTTGTGTTTGATAAGGGTGCCTACAACCCCATCCGTTTACAGTCTGCTTTATTGTCCAACGAATCCGTTTGAAACCAGTCAAGGGTTCGGACCAGTCGAGGGTTCGGACCAGTCGATCTGATCTGATCAGTGGGTCACGTATTTAAAACATACTAGTCGGTGATTTGGGCTAACACATGAAGGATGTACTTGAAATTATCTACCCGAGTAATATGTGAGTTGATTGATACAAAAGTATAACTTGCGGAAAACTTGCACATGTATCAGTTAGTATATTAGTTCATAACAAAACACAGTACAGTGGACCCCCGCATAACGATTACCTCTGAATGTGACCAATTATGTAAGTGTATTTATGTAAGTGCGTTTGTATGTGTATGTTTGGGGGTCTGAAATGGACTAATCTACTTCACAATATTTCTTATGGGAACAAATTCGGTCAGTACTGGCACCTGAACATACTTCTGGAGTGAAAAAATATCGTTAACCGGGGGTCCACTGTATTATGTTTGCTGAAAAATTTCACCTAATAATTCTTATTTTGCAGAGCACGAGAAGCTTTACGTCAGTGTTTACCAGATCAGCTAAAAGACCAAACCTTTGCTGCATGCCTCAAGGATGACAAGTCTACAAAGCATTGGCTGCAACAACTCCTTGGCAACTTGGAATCCACAGGAGTTCCTGACCCTCGCATTACCCTGCCTCCTTTGGCAGCTCAGTGAGGGCTGACAGTGTGGTACATAGTACACTTGGTTGCAACTGTGTCAGTTGGTGATGCTGTGATTTTTAAGTCATCTTGTCTAAATCTCTTATTGATGCCATGATCAGATGTACATCCCTTCTTACACTGAAATATACTGACAGTGGTGCTGTGATCTAAGGTATCACGTGCAATCATTTCTCATAAAGAGTGCTGTGATAAAATTTACATTCTTCCATGCATTTATAAGTCAAAATGATGCAAGCACCTTGCTTTACAGCAAGGCTTCTAAGGCATTAAGGGAGTTTCTAAATGATCCTCTCCGAGGAGATAAGTGAGGTTACAATAACCTTAGTGATGATTGCCTATTATGAAGATTACCATAGGAGTATGTACTTGTAAATAATGCCAAATATTGTTATTTTTTAAGGCTTCTAAATATGAAATAGCATGAGTGTTTTATATAAAAAAATATCCATTGTATAATATATTTAGAAAAGCAATTGACCTTTAAACTACACAAAATAAGGGGAATGAAGAGTTATAACAGTCAGAATTAATATTCTCTTGAGCATTTTAAATGAAGAGAGGAAAGGAGTGTACAGATTGTAATTTTGTGTATGTAAATAAGGTTTAATCACAGGTGAGAGTGGCAATGAAATATTGTCATAGTTCAAACTAGAAAGACAGCACTGTATATTGTCATAGTTCAAACAGGAAAGACAGTGCTGTATGACTAGTATGAGTATGGTTTTTTCTCCTTATTTTTGTGTGTGTGTTTGGGAATATAATATAATAGTATAGAAAACAGTTCAAGCTGGAAGCAGGAAAGTCCAGTTGGATTATATTTTCAGTTATTTGGTTCATGGGTAGCAAATATCAATGTAACTCAGTGGAAATTTCATACCTGAATCTAGCATTAAAATGATATATGAAGGAATACCACAGTGAAAATAATAATAGTAATAATAATAATAATAATCTGAATACTTTCATGAGTGCACATGGACAAAAGAGCTCGAATGTTTTTGTTAATGTTTCACTAGCACTTTTTTCATATTTGTAGTCATGCATTAATCAGGATTTCTTCACACGGTGATGTAATCAAGTGCTTGTCAGGTTTTTAATGTACATTCTTGGGTATTGAATTGTGCCATATCTGGTTTATGGGAGATATGGAATTTTTGAAATAGGCATCAATTAAAATTAATATGTTTTGCAAATACAGTAGAACCTTGGCTTTCGTGATTAATCTGTTCTAAAAAGTCTGATGAAAACCGAATCGTACGAAAACTGAAGCAATATCTCTCATAAGAAATAATGTAAATCCAATTAATCCTTTCCAGATACCCAAAAATATTAAGAAAAAATACATTGTATGGAGAATAACTATACATGTAGTTTTACATACAGAAAGCAATGAGAGGTAAGTACATATAAATATCTAACGAAATGGATAAATGTACATTTAACATCACTCTTACCTTTATTGAAGACTCTTGCTGGTGTATGGAAGACGGCGAGGAGGGAAGAGGTAGGAGGAGAGGTTATTGTTTGGAAAGGGAATCCCCTTCCATAAGGACTTCAGGTATCAGGGCCCTATCCAAAATACTATCTCCTGCTAACTGTTTTTCATTGATCCACGCCAACAACAACTTCTCAGCATCTTCAATTGTTTGCGATCTCTGTTTCATTAGCACATTTACCCCTTTTGCTACATCAGCTTCGCTGATGAGGACTTACCTTACATCCTGGCAAGATCGGCCAGGCATACGCCACTTTCGTACTTTGCTACGAGTTCTTGAATTCTATCGTGTTTCTTGCCTTCTTTGGCCCCATGGTGGCTTATTTAGCAGCCGCACTCAATAAACAAGCACAAAAAACAATGGATTATTACAAAATGTTTTGGATGAACGTGCGGGGTGATGCTCACTCAATGAGAAACAAAGGCAGACTCAGTCACGAACACATGAGATGCTTTGTTTGGGTACTTGAGTGGCCGATTCATGAGGACACATTTGGTACGGACCATTTTCAACTACGAGAACTGAGCAGATGTATGAAAATGGGGGCAAAATTTTGACGAAAAAAATTGTCGAAAACCGAATCCTATGAAAACTGGGGCATACGAAAACCAAGGTTCCGCTGTAATTAGTGTGTGTAAATGATTAAGAACATGTTTGTGAAAGTTGATTTTAGATCACTTATCATTATTAGAATGGGTTTATATTGACAACACGAGTATTCTTAACTGAGAAACCTGTGTACTTTTCATACTGTGTATGGCACTCTATTATGGTTCATATTGTCTAGTCTTGTGGATTATTTGTTATTGTTGGATATTTTTAGGAAGTGTCTGAAAAATACATAATGTTGAACACAGTATAATTGAAACTGCAACTGCCTATACTATAGGATTGCTAACTATGGAAAGTCCAAAGACTTTTTCTACCTGAAGGATATGTGTAAGTTTATCACTTAGTGTTATACTTAAAGATGATGAAGGTTCATAATTGATGTGTCATTTATATATAAGAGGGCCCTGCTTATACAGCAGGTTAGGTTCTAGGCTACCATTCTAAAGTGAAACATTTTTTTTTTTTTTTTTTTCAAATGCATATGATAACAGTGTAAACATGATAACATGTTTACACTGTCATATATTTAGTGAGCAATAGAGCTAGACCTAAAAAATGAATATACAGTACACATATTACTTACCTTCAAATATTTTCATACTTAGCTCATGGTGAGTGGTTAATATATTTATTGTAGGTAGCCTGAATAAATGAAGAATAGATATAATTGAAAAATGCTGTTTTAGCAAAACACTCTAAAGCAAAGTGCTATAAAGTGGGGCCTTCCTGTATTAATAAGTCTCTTAGAACAAATATTAGTTTTAGCTAATATCAGAACTGGAGCAGTAAACCAGTGTGCTTTTTGTTTATGGAACCATGGGATGACCCACTGTAGAATATGTCTCACTTATCACTACTTGTTTCTAGTCTCACCTTAGAAATATGTCCTCAGGTTGGGCTGTGAGGGAAAAACTCTCAAAACTGCTCATGGGTATGTGCTGCTTATGGTCCAGGTAAGGTCTGTGATACTCAAAGTTCTAGATAACCACTGCTCAAAGGGTTGTTAGTGGCATTTGGCACTTGTGTGAACTACACCTCTTTAGTTGTCCTTATTCTGTTGTACAGGCACTTCTCACCTCTGTTCCGATACTTGTCTTCCATTTCGTTTAGTTGGGCACCTTCAGGCTTCTGTCAGTCTTCATGTTTTCTGGTAGTCCATACTACTCTTCACATTTATCTCATAAATACCTAGTAACTATGGCATACTGGACTTGTGATTGCCTTGTTTACCCAGTTTCCTTGCTCGTTATAAAACCCTTGTAGGTTTAGCACTTTTTGATTATAATAAATAATAAATCTTTGCTTGTTATATGTATGCATAATGTGCATAGTCTCCTGGTGTGTGGACCCTCTGCCTGAGGGTTTATGAGTTTGGTCATGGCAATCCTGGCCATGCTGATGGTGCTCCTAAACACCCCGATCCTCTGGAAAATGGACATTCCTGTAACATTGTGTATGACTTCAGTCTCCTAGGCTCTCCATTTTTTTTTCCTGCACTTTCTGTGGCTAATTCTGCTGAGGGGATGTTTCTTTGCAGCTGTTTTTGTAAGTATAAGAAGATAGGAGTATATGGAGTATATGGAGAAAAAGAGAGAAGTTAAGAGAGTGGTGAAGCAATGTAAAAAGAGAGCAAATGAGAGAGTGGGTGAGATGTTATCAACAAATTTTGTTGAAAATAAGAAAAAGTTTTGGAGTGAGATTAACAAGTTAAGAAAGCCTAGAGAACAAATGGATTTGTCTGTTAAAAATAGGAGAGGAGAGTTATTAAATGGAGAGTTAGAGGTATTGGGAAGATGGAAGGAATATTTTGAGGAATTGTTAAATGTTGATGAAGATAGGGAAGCTGTGATTTCGTGTATAGGGCAAGGAGGAATAACATCTTGTAGGAGTGAGGAAGAGCCAGTTGTGAGTGTGGGGAAGTTCGTGAGGCAGTAGGTAAAATGAAAGGGGGTAAGGCAGCCGGGATTGATGGGGTAAAGATAGAAATGTTAAAAGCAGGTGGGGATATAGTTTTTTGGAGTGGTTTGGTGCAATTATTTAATAAATGTATGGAAGAGGGTAAGGTACCTAGGGATTGGCAGAGAGCATGCATAGTTCCTTTGTATAAAGGCAAGGGGGATAAAAGAGAGTGCAAAAATTATAGGGGGATAAGTCTGTTGAGTGTACCTGGTAAAGTGTATGGTAGAGTTATAATTGAAAGAATTAAGAGTAAGACGGAGAATAGGATAGCAGATGAACAAGGAGGCTTTAGGAAAGGTAGGGGGTGTGTGGACCAGGTGTTTACAGTGAAACATATAAGTGAACAGTATTTAGATAAGGCTAAAGAGGTCTTTGTGGCATTTATGGATTTGGAAAAGGCGTATGACAGGGTGGATAGGGGGGCAATGTGGCAGATGTTGCAAGTGTATGGTGTAGGAGGTAGGTTACTGAAAGCAGTGAAGAGTTTTTACGAGGATAGTGAGGCTCAAGTTAGAGTATGTAGGAAAGAGGGAAATTTTTTCCCAGTAAAGTAGGCCTTAGACAAGGATGTGTGATGTCACCGTGGTTGTTTAATATATTTATAGATGGGGTTGTAAGAGAAGTAAATGCGAGGGTCTTGGCAAGAGGCGTGGAGTTAAAAGATAAAGAATCACACACAAAGTGGGAGTTGTCACAGCTGCTCTTTGCTGATGACACTGTGCTCTTGGGAGATTCTGAAGAGAAGTTGCAGAGATTGGTGGATGAATTTGGTAGGGTGTGCAAAAGAAGAAAATTAAAGGTGAATACAGGAAAGAGTAAGGTTATGAGGATAACAAAAAGATTAGGTGATGAAAGATTGAATATCAGATTGGAGGGAGAGAGTATGGAGGAGGTGAACGTATTCAGATATTTGGGAGTGGACGTGTCAGCGGATGGGTCTATGAAAGATGAGGTGAATCATAGAATTGATGAGGGAAAAAGAGTGAGTGGTGCACTTAGGAGTCTGTGGAGACAAAGAACTTTGTCCTTGGAGGCAAAGAGGGGAATGTATGAGAGTATAGTTTTACCAACGCTCTTATATGGGTGTGAAGCGTGGGTGATGAATGTTGCAGCGAGGAGAAGGCTGGAGGCAGTGGAGATGTCTGTCTGAGGGCAATGTGTGGTGTGAATATAATGCAGAGAATTCGTAGTTTGGAAGTTAGGAGGAGGTGCGGGATTACCAAAACTGTTGTCCAGAGGGCTGAGGAAGGGTTGTTGAGGTGGTTCGGACATGTAGAGAGAATGGAGCGAAACAGAATGACTTCAAGAGTGTATCAGTCTGTAGTGGAAGGAAGGCGGGGTAGGGGTCGGCCTAGAAGGGTTGGAGGGAGGGGGTAAAGGAGGTTTTGTGTGCGAGGGCTTGGATTTCCCAGCAGGCATGCGTGAGCGTTTTGATAGGAGTGAATGGAGACAAATGGTTTTTAATACTTGACGTGCTGTTGGAGTGTGAGCAAAGTAACATTTATGAAGGGATTCAGGGAAACCGGCAGGCCGGACTTGAGTCCTGGAGATGGGAAGTACAGTGCCTGCACTCTGAAGGAGGGGTGTTAATGTTGCAGTTTAAAAACTGTAGTGTAAAGCACCCTTCTGGCAAGACAGTGATGGAGTGAATGATGGTGAAAGTTTTTCTTTTTCGGGCCACCCTGCCTTGGTGGGAATCGGCCGGTGTGATAAAAAAAAAAAAAAAAAAAAATAAGAAGATAGGATGCCAGCCTATTCAGGTGTTTTAAATATCATTTGTAGGTGGGCATTCGACATACATGTACTTCATTATTGGCATAGAGATCTCGATCAGGGTCATTACTGTCCTCAGAGCATCTGAGCGTAGCCTGACAGGGTTTTATGAAAATGTGCAATTTGTCTTCCCCGTCAGTGTCTGATCAGCCTTAGTGACTCTCACCCAGTTCCTCTTCTGATATAAATATTTGGAGTCCCCTGGCACTTTTTCAAGGTCAGACCAATGTCAGGGCTCTGTCATTCATGGGTCATCCATGTGTGATTATTGGCTTCTAGGGTTAAATTTGTGTGCATTGACTGCCCTGGTATGTACTGTACATGTATGTGTACACAGTGGTAGGCTTTGCTTGCCTCACAGGATGCCTGTTTTGTGAATTACTGTATTCTAGTAATGGTTCTGCCATTTATCAAGTATTGCATTCTAATTTTGTATAATTTTTGACACTTCTTCAGGTGTTGAAGAAATTCCTTGCTTTTCTTGAGTCCCTCTATCTTACTTATACCCATTTAAATTTTGCCTGGCTCAGTAGCCGTCTCTTCTATTGTGGGTGCTGGTGGTATGATTCCAACATGATTCTCCATGGTACTGTAAGCAAAACTTGTTTTTAAAGGATGAATAATGACTTGACAGTCTGTAGAGGGATAATGCATGACTCAGGTTTCTGTCTACTTTCCCAGTTGTGTGGTTCTCAGATTCCAGCAGAAGGTATGGCTCATGCAGGTGCATTATGATATTTGAGTAACCACAACATTTGACTAATGACCATTTGAGCAGTGGTAAATTAGGGCTTAATTATCACCAGCCTAACCAGGAGTATCAGTGGTTCTGTAAGGTAAGGTGTAGCATATTTCGGTACAAGCCCACATCTTTCATACTTGAAACTGGTGTGTTCTCGTAACAATACAATATTCAAGACTAATGTTTCATAGCTTGCCATGACAGGATAATGTATAGTTCATATACAGTAGGGCCCCACTTATACTGCAGTTAGGGTCCAGGCTACTGCCGGAAAGCGGACATCACCAGAAAGCAGAACCTTATTTTTTTTCATATACAAATGCATTTAAATGCCAGATAACATGTTCATTTCCATGTTTGTGAGCGAGTAAGTTTTTATTCAAGTACAGGTACACATACATGCAGTTACATAGATTATCACACATAGCAGCATTTGTGTAGATTACCTAGGTAAACCCAAAAATGTCAGTCACTTATTTCCATTGGAGTGAAGTTTATACCATAATACAAACACCTTACATTGTGTACAAGTTATCTCTGCATTGGTACAGTAGAGAAAATAAAGAGCAACACTCCCATTCTCATTTAACACCATTTTTAGAAGGAATGGCACTCTGAGTGAAGGCATACGAAAAGGAATAAATTTTTATAGTTACCCCAGTAATGCTATTGTGTATGTATTTTCTTTGGGTTTTGAACTAAAAAAAATGTTTTTTTTTCCAAACTCCGAGAAGAAAATTTGGATTTTTTTTTTTTAACAAGGGGGCCATTTCCCCGGGGCAGGTGTTTTTATCATGCTTATATTTATGTAGTGTGTTTATTAACTGAAAATTTTTTAAAAAAATCATAATGGATTAATGAAAAGTCTATTTAACATAATACGCCTCCCCTCATTTAGCGTGTACGTGTACTCGTTTACTGAGACTGGGAAATTACAGGGGCTTTCTTCAGTATGCATACCTAAAAAATGCACGGTTTCCCCGTTCCCCACGGTGAGAGTAGCCCTCCATTGCTGAAGCCAGGTAATAAACCCGGAGATTAACAAAAACAAACCTAAATAATGTTATTAAGCGGATGTCCTCTGTTCTGCTTTTACAATATACAAACCCCTACTGTATAAACATTTAAAAATAAAACAAAATGTTATAAAGTTACAAAGGGACAGAAAAAACAGTATGAAAGATGGTTACACAAAACCACTCCCATTATAGTATGCTCCTCACTTAGCAACGAATTTTTTTCAGATATGGCTTAGAAACGAACTCCTTTGTTAAGTGAGGAGAGGCTGTAACGCATTTAAAGCGCCCCAGAGTGATTATTATTGAGTTATTTCAATATTAACCTTTAAACTGTCCAACAGATCTACGTTCACATGGTAGTGCTCCAAAAGAGATCTACGTTTTTTTTACATATTTTCAAAAAAACCCGTGGACCCTCGCCTAAAAATATTAATCCGTTCCTGAGGCTCAAAGTTGGGGAAATTATCGTTAGGCAATTTAAATTTTCCCCATAAGAAATAAAGGAAATCAAAATTAATCCGTGCAAGACACCCCAAAGTATGAAAAAAAATTTTTTTTTTACCACATGAAATAATTTTAATAACACAAATGGAAGAAGAATGTACAAATACGACACTTACCTTTATCGAAGATTGTGATGATTGATGGGAGGGAAAGGGGGGGAGAGGTGAAGGTCTTAGGGTTTTTGAAAGGGGGAAACCCCTTCCCCTTTGGACTTAGGTAGCAAGCCTTTTCCCGGGGTTTCTTCCCTTCCTTTTTTAAAGCCACTAGGACCAGCTTCAAGTCCGGAAACCCCTGCGCACAAAATATTTGTCCAAGTGGCCTGTACCCCTCGTTTTTTCCTAAAAGACTTTTCCCAAAGGTTTTCACAACATTGTCATGTAAAATCACCCCGCACGGGTTGCAATAGCTGTGTGAGGTGATTTTTTTCAAAAAAGGTTTGCACTTTTTAAACCCAATTTCACACATTTCCCTTTAAACTTGAATAGGGGAACTTCTTTAATTTCTCTCTCCCCCTCCTTTGAAGCAGTTTCCTCAGGTCTGGCCCTTCTTTGAAAATGACTAGCAGTCATCAAATGGTTAGTTCTTCTTGTCCTCCCCATCAACTCTTCCACATCCTTCCCACTAACCTCACCAATATGAGCACTAGTTCCAGGCATTTTTTCCTGTTCACCTGGGTGTTAGTCAACCGTTGTGGGTCGCATCCTGGGGGACAAGATTAAGGACCCCAATGGAAATAAGTTAGACAGTCCTCAATGATGCACTGACTTTCTTG